ACTCTTTGTCAGGTGGTATCTTTTCATCCTGACGACGAGGAGTTTGCCTACGATTTTTTTTATTTTTTTTTGGGGTCACTTTGCGTCCCTTTTTGTCATTTCCTTTCTCTAGCGCCATTGTAGGTTTTTGCTGTGTAGTTGATCGGAGAAGGTTCTCTCTCTCTGTGATGTGTCTCTGGATTCTCTGGAAGTCTCATTCAGAAGGAGATCTGGACGTCACGTGAGAGGGGAGGAGTTGGGGTCTGGCGGGAGAAAGGACGTGATGGGAGCTAACCTGGTGCAATTCTGAGCCTCCTCTTTGCGGAGTCTGCTTGTTCCAGGACGTAGGCAGATTGAAGAGAGATGAGACTGAAGTGAAAGCGAAGGCGAACAGCGATGATGGGAGAAGTGATCACTGTTAACCTGTCTGGTAGAGCGGTGACGACAAACATGCGGTTGTTCTAATTGAGGATTCGAAGCAGAGATTGACGAGTTGAGGGAGGGAGGGAGGAAGGGAGGGGGATCAGGGAGTGGAGAGTAACTTACGGTTAAAGATTTAAGGAGTGGTGTCGAGAGAGAGAGAGAGCGAAGGAGGTGATGGTGCCGGCAAGAAAATGCGAGCGAGGTTCGTGTGTCTAGCGGTGTTGAGGGATACCAGCGAAGGAGGGGGTGCTAGGAAGAGGGGTCGAGGGATAGCCAAAGGAGTCGGTGGTGGGAGGGGGGTGTTGAGGGATAGCAAAAGAGGAGTCGGTGATGGGAGGGGGGGTCGAGAGATAGCAAAAGAGGAGACGGTGGTGGTAAAACGGGGGGTTGAGGGAGAGTGGGGGAAGTCGACAAGAGAAAGGCAACGCGGGTGATGGATCCGCATGTGTGTTCATGCTCGGAGTGTTCAAGTGAAAGGCGCAGAAGGAGTTTTGCGCCTCGCAGTGCTATGGAGCTCTTGGGGGGATGGGTGTGATATCTGTTAGTGCCTCCGCTCATGTGAGTTTGGTCATACTAAAGCGAGTCAGGAAGGTGCATGAGAGCAGAAGGGAGAAGCGACGACGGTCGGGCGGGCCCCTGAAGAGAGGGCGTTAGATGCGAGCGCGGAGAAGGGGTTTTGCGTTTGCAGACCCAATGTGTGGAGTCGGTGTTTTCGATGATCAGCTCGGTGTGTTATCTTTTGGGACTGCTTTGTTGGTTCAATTGCCATTGGGAATCGGCAAGCAGACGGTGGCCAGCTCTCTGTGTGAGAAGGGCAGAGACAATATCGATGACGATGGTCTAGTCATGTCTGTATTCTCGAAACGCCAATGTGATTGTTATAATTGGGTTGTCGTTATCAATCTGGACCAGTCTAATGTTTTTTTTTCCTCTTGGCATCTGCTGCGACTTTTCTGTTCCCAAAGGGTCCTGAAGTACGTCGATGTCCCTTGAGTTGCTTCTTTTTTCTCATCAAACCGTCGTTCTGATCTGAAAAGCAAATGATGACACCGAGTGTGACGCTCTTGTGTACGTGCTGCGCATGCTGACAGGGCAGCAACAGGCCCACACGATCATAACCACGGCCTAAACGAGTTCCAGGCCGGGGGATAGGTCCCACTTGCAGGAATTAAGAGATACTGACCGTAGATATAGCAAAGATCAACGGCCGAGATCTCCTAATCGGCGCAAGTGGGACCTTGCCCCGGAGAAGAGCCCCAGTTAGGTGTTGCTGTTTAAACTGTTCAGTGAGGCGGGTATATTCGTGGTTACGGTATGTTTGTTCTCTTGCCTGTGCTCTCTCCGAGTCGGGTGCTTTTGCAGTAGGCAGCGAAGAACTCTGCAGCGAACAACTGTGAGAATACGAATACGGGCTACCAAAAAAATAAATAAAAAAATTATGAATACGGGCTTGGCCTTTTGGATTCTTGCAATATATTTACAAGCTTTCCGGAAAAAAAAAGAAAAAAGAAGGGGCTTGGCGGCGAATGTCACGGGTCGGACGATCCCGATTTCATCCGTAGAAGAGATCCGGATGCGTCATAGTGACCGGTATATGCTGTGCCCTGATACAGCCTTGCATTCCCTACCCACGCCAGGTCAGTGTGGCTCCACCTGAACTGAAAGGTTTTCCATATACGGATATATAATCACCGGCCGTTCTATGCGGGTGAAGATGCTACTATGTAGGGTGTATCCTACCCTCGGCTATAGTCGTCGGTATCCTGTGGGTCTCGCTGTACTACTCTCCACTGTCTGGAAATTAGGGGGGTAGTAGGTGGAGAGTTGTCAAATTCTTCTAAATAGGGCTTTTTTTTATTTGGCAAAGCAGGGGTTTCCCCCATCACCTCTGCAGTTACTATCCACGCTCCTGCTGTCCGATTCCTGAGTCCGATGACGTCTTCTCCCGAATACAACGTACGGTCGTTATTGCTGCATCTGGGCTCTAGTTACCCCAAATACAGCTATAATGACCCTACAATTTATTCCGGTGAAGGTGGTCGCAGACATCGTGACAGCAGACGAAGACACGCCGGGCGTCATGGGCATTTTGCCCGGTCTAGACTCCAGGCACTCTCTCAAAATTCGGGCCCCTACGGTATATAGGCCCTTCGGCGTCATGGCCATTTTGTTCATTTTGTTCAGAGGTCTATCCGCGTAACGAATTTTTTCTTTGCTCTTTTTTTTGCTTTTTTTTTTGCTCTTTCTTTTGTTGTAAAAAACTGGTGTGTTCATTCGGCTGCACTCATCTTGCTGGATGATCTTTTTTTTCCGTTTTCTTTTGTTGTAAAAAACACGGCCCCGTCTATTCTCGTGGCGCAACAGTCCGGTTGCTTATCACTGGAAAGCAAGTTTTACAAACTGCAAACCCAGAAAAATGAAGTCGTAAGAGAAGCCTAGCCACCAGTCGGAGGGGGGGTCGTATAGGGAAATCACACCCACCCATTTACCTGGGTCTCCTTCGATTCGGCTAATGGTCGGGGGACGTGATAACAGTACCCAGCCACACAATAGGCGAATCGCAGGCGCGCGTTGTGGGGGGAGTTCCTTCCCTCTCCCGCCTTGCGGGCTTTCCAGGATGACCACACAGATTGGATTTCACTGCTGAAGGAAAGCTGCGTGCACAAAAACATAAAAACAAGGCTTGGAAAACACATCTAGCTCTGCTTGCCGCAAGCGGCACGGGTGGGATCTCGGTGCTTGCCGCAAGCGGTTCGAGTGGCAATGCCGTCTGTCTGTTTTTTTTTTTTTCCCTTCCTTTGAAGGAAAGCTTGTAATATATATATTGAAAGCTTGGCTAAGATCAAGTGCACTGTAACTGTTCTGATCAGTTTAATATCTGATCTGTGGTCCATCGGACCATTTAAAAAAAAACAAAAAAACAAAGGCTTGCAGTAGATTAGATGGCGTCTGTTTCACCGGAGCAAAGATTGGAAACTCGTCCCTCCACATTTGGACCGACAAGCAAGGAGATGATCCCAGTGTTTCTGAGAGAAATCTTCTTTAGTGCATTACGAAAAAAAAAAAGAAAAAAAAAAGGTTGGGGCATGAAGTCTTTGTAACACCAAGGGACACGAGCCTTAGATTTTGAGACACTGGAGTCGTGGACGACGTAGAGTAGATTGTGTGTCGACAGTAAGGCCCGGCTGAGATGACAAGTAGACTGTCCGCTTTCTGCAGGATGTGAGATGAATGCAAAGAGTTGGCCGAAGGGATTGTCTGAGAGGATGACTCTTATCTTTGCTGGGAGAACTTTGTAGTTTGGCTGATGTCCGTACTGCTTTTGTGACTGGCTTAGAGAATGGCAGCGCCCCTGGATGGTCTGACACGTCTGGCGGGTCGAAAGTCCTGCGTGTCTGTGGTTATGGGCATTTCTATAGTGGCCGCAGTCTGTTGGTTGCGTAGCTAGGCACGACTCCTACGTAGCCCACGTCAATGGGGTCTCTGTCTGTCAGACCCGATGGCACAGAGAGAGTGAGAAAGAGAGAGAGATGTTTGTAAGGCCGAGGAAGGGCACACACACACACACACAGAGAGAGAGAGAGAGAGAGAGAGAGAGTACGTTGGGCAATTCTATTCATTTAAGCGGGTGATAGGTATAAGGGCTTCCACAGCAGGGACTTGACATTTGGTCAGTGTAAGGGACACTTGTGAACATATGCGAGGAGTGCCACAGCGCTGAAACTAGCACGTGGTGCCAGGCGGGGTTGGGGCAGGGCAGGAGTGCCACAGCGCTGAAACTAGCACGTGGTGCCAGGCGGGGTTGGGGCAGGGCAGGAGAGGGGTGGGCGGGCCAGATTGACAGATGTTTCAGTCGTCTGGCGTTATGTGACGGGGAGTCGCATGCACGCGAGAATGTTTCAGATCGACTGCCACTCTTGTCAGGGGTTTGGAGTCTTGGGCCGACAGTGGTGAGTCTATCCATCAGCCAGCCACTTTTCTGTCGGCCCAGAGCTAGGAGATTGAACCACGACAGCATTCCCATCCCACGATGCATTCGGTGTGGCTTAGCTGGCCAACGTGGCGACCGCGTATCCATCGAATGCATCGTGGGATGGGAATGCTGTCGTGGTTCAATCTCCTTCTAGCTCCCATCGGATGTGGGTGCCTTTTTGGGGGATGGGGGGGGTGGGCGGGCTTATCGTTGCCTTGTCAGCTGGGATATGACAGAGAGAGAGCTAGGTAGGTAGGTAATCGTGAGCTTGTAGGCGTCGGCTGGAGTCGGGGCAGGTCGGTGTCGCTGTCTGTCCGGAGTATCTAACGACGCCCTTACTTTCCTGTCTATATTAGCTGTCTGTCCGGAGTATCTATGACGGAGTTGCTTTGTTAGCTGGGGTCAGTCAGCCAACGGGTGTTTGTCCGGAGAGCTTATGTCGAACAGTGTCGCTGTCTGTCCGGAGAGCTTATGTAGAACAGTGTCGCTGTCTGTTTGTCTCTGCTGTACTGTTGTGCCCACTCACACAACCAAACAATCTGTGGCAGTCTTGCTTTTCCTTGTGGAGTTGTTTTACTGTTGTGCCCACTCACACAACCAAACAATTTGTGGCAGTCTTGCTTTTCCTTGTGGAGTTGTTTTTCGGACTAACACACACACACACACACACACACACACAGATCTGACGTCGTAGAGAGGCTGGAAAGGCTCAGAGTTGTGGGAAGTTAAAGAAGGGATGCTTTGCTTTGTCAGCTGGGATGAACCAGTCAACGGATGTGTCCGAAGCGCGAGCTTCAGTTTCGTGTAGGTTATGAGTAGTGATGTCTTAACGCGTCTGCGTCGAGGCTACGTTCTGTGCGGTGATTTTATATCCTTGTCGGGTACAGACGGCAGAGGTCTGTAGGGAGCGGCCGTCAGGCGAGGGAAGCCGGAAGCATGCGGTGGTGTGGTTGCTTTGTCAGCAAAGACGCCGGTGACATCAGTCGAGGAATGTGTTTTGCTTTTACACCTTCATTAAGCAAAGAACGGGTTGCTATTGTTTCTCCGTTTCAATCATTGAACCCACCAGCGTAGCGCGATCTCGTTGTCGTGGGTCCCTCATGACGGTCGTGCTCTCATCTCAGGGAGGTCCTCTCTTTGGCTATATGCTTGTGTTATTTGTTGTTGTCTACCGCGGATAGTGACGACTCAAGTCATGGGGCCTCGCTGTACTGGTCTCTAAATTGGGAAAATGAGACTGAATCCACCCAATGAACATGGAAAGGGAGTCCAATGTTCGTGTCACAAAGATTGAGCCTTTGCGGGGTTGTGCTAATCGGACTTTTTCGTCGTTTTTTCACTGTAAGGGGGTTCTGTAAGGGGGTAGGTCCTGACATGATTGTAGTGCGGTGTTTCGGGACGTGTGTCTCGTAGATTCATCAACAGCTAAATTCGCGTGCCGCTCAGCCACGTGGGCTGTATGCGCGTTGTGCTTTTGTCTGTGACCGTTTTTGTTATTACTTCCCGTGCACACGTGGTGACGTCCAAACTAGGTAATTTCAAATTTCCAAAATTTGAAAAAGGACTCGACGGAATAACATGGACTTTTACTTTCTGGTTCTTTTCGTCGATGGTTGACGTGGTTTTGTATGAAGTGACGAAAACATCTTAGTCCCCCCCGCAAAAAAAAAAAAACATCCCAGTGCATAGTGGTCGTGGGATTGCTACCGTCTTCCCCCCAACACAACGAACCCCAATATTTAATGGATATAAGCTGTATTTCCGGTCGGGTACGGTGATTATGAGGGTGCGTTGCGTGTTCGGGGGATGATAGTAGTGTGTAGGAGATGCAGGGTGATTGCTGGTATAATCTCCTGCTAGTATACCGTTCCCCTTTGGCCACTTGTTTGGGCGAAAACACGTCCAGATTCGGCCTCCGTCCTAGTATACCATTCTCCGA